ACAGAGACGCAGGGCATCACTGAGACACAGAGACGCAGGGCATCACTGAGACACAGAGACGTTTCACAAAGAAGAAAAACAACCCGACCACATTGATCTGAACGAGAGAGAGAGATAAAGTTATTACAACTTCATTTCCCCATTATTTGAGAGTAAATCCTTTTAGTGCGTTAAGATCATTCTAATAAGAGAAGTGGATGTAACTTCTGTTAGCTTTCACACTGGAGAAATAAGAAACTAAATGTATGCAATCATGTATGGCATGAATCATTCATATCTCATTCTGAACTGTGAATGGTTTTCATTGACTAACCATTAGAAATGTTTGAATCGACTAACCATTAGAAATGTTTGAATCGACTAACCATTAGAAATGTTTGAATCGACTAACCATTAGAAATGTTTGAATCGACTAACCATTAGAAATGTTTGAATCGACTAACCATTAGAAATGTTTGAATCTGGCCAAACCTTTTCTGAAAAAGTTGATTCCAGAACAAAACTGTGTTATTAGATCAGTACGGACGTCAGATGTCCTGTTTGCTGTACGTAGCTGTCCCATAGGAGGACCAACTCACGGTAGTCCCGCCCACCTCTGCATCAGCGTCATGGACGTATAAAGAGAAACACGTTAACGCTATGGAGCGCCTGCACCTGTGGGCGTGGCTAACCCTCAGCTGGGATGAAAGAGCGCCTTATCCCACTGTCACCTGAACTCTGTGAAGAACATCCAGAAACATTCATCTGTCTGCATCTTGATGATTATTGATCTCATATTCCATTTACTTATAGACTCTTCTTGCACTATCTCTATTCTATTAGTATTAACTTGCACATCTCAAAACATTCTCTTGCACTATTTCATCTGTTTTATGTGTTTTATGTCCTATATATATTCATGTTGCTCTGTTGGAGGAGGACTTCAGTTTCTCATCTCCATGTCTCCTCTGAAGCTGCTGAGCTCATGATGAGAGAGACTTGGAACCTGCACAGGTGAACGCCCGGGGAGTGAGACAGGCTGCTGACCCGTCTGTCTGTTGCAGGTGTTTCTGGGCGGGAGCATCGTCAGTGACGGACCAATCAGAGTCCTGGAGGACCCGGAGCCCCAGCCCCCCCCCCGCTTCCTGCAGGGCCGCAGGGTCCCCGGGGGGCCACAGATGCTTCAGCTCAGTCTGGACGGGAGGAGGCTGTACGTCACCACGTCTCTGTTCAGTGGCTGGGACAAGCAGTTCTACCCCGACATGACCAAGTGAGTACTACTGTGTACTACTGTGTACTACTGTATACTACTGACTAATACTACTGTATACTACTGTATACTGCTGTATACTGCTGAATACTGCTGAATACTGCTGAATACTACAGTACCACAGTATACTGCTATATAGTTGGACTTTATGTTTCTGACGGAGACGTGGATTCGTGCTGGTGAGTTAACAGCTTTTTCTGAACTTCTACCACCTGACTGTTCATTCATCAGCACCCCGCGGACCACCGGTAGAGGTGGAGGGCTGGCGTCGGTCTTTAAATCCAGCTTTAATTGCCGTAAAACTCCGTCGAACAGCTTCTCCAGCTTTGAGCTGCAACTTTTCGAACTACACGTAACACTTCCAGTGCTCTGTGCTTTGATCTATCGCCCTCCGAAGTTCAATAAGGATTTTATTCAGGAATTCTCAGATTTTGTAGCGGGGGTTATCTTGAACTTTGATCGATGTTTAATCATTGGCGATTTTAATATTCATGTGTGCTGTGATTCCCGACCGCTCGTCTCATTGACTGTGGCGGCTCAATCCCCAGTTGCGTTTGAGTCGCCGAGAGGCTAAACTTGGCTATAAACTGTGACGCGTTTTTGAAGAGAAAGTCCATAGTGACGCAAGATAGTTTTTGGGATATTTAATAAACAAAATCATAACATGGACAAAACGGTCAACAGAAAAAATGACAGCACAAGCTCACCCTCTGTCATCCGCACTCAACATGAAACAGGTGACTTAAATACACAAACCACACCCATGTGACAATTACCGGAAGTGCTCAACAAACAAATAAAAGTGATGTAAACAAATAATAATAATACAAATAATGAACTTGGGCTAAGTAGCATTATGGCACCTACATTGACTCTTTTAACCTTACACAGTGGGTTAATGGCCCGACTCATGAGAAGGGACACACTGGACCTTGTGTTGTCTCATGGTTTAGATGTTTGTATCAGGGACATTTGTGACACTGGTATTTCGGACCATTTGCCGTGTTATTTACTATGACGCTGCCTTGCTCTCAAGTTGACTCGTGCGTTCCGGAGCGCCGCCTACGTGCGCTGAATCCTCTGACAGCGTCACAGTTTTCCGTTGCCTTTAATGACTCTGTGCTTTCCACATTAATTGACTCTTGTGACGCCAGTGCTGAGGAGATTCTCAGCCTTTTTAATTCTACTTGTATTCTGGACCTGATCGCTCCATCCACGGCCAAATGCCCTAAACCTGTGACTGAACCGTGGATGACTGACTCTACCCGCGCCCTGAGACGCGCATGTAGACGAGCAGAGAGGAGATGGAAGAAGGATAAACTTCACGTCTCCTTGGGGATTCTAAGAGACGACGGTTTAAGCGAATATCAGAGTGCTGTTAAATGTGCAAAAACACATTTTATTTCAAATCTTGTGTCCAAAAACCGAAATAGGCCCCAGTTCCTTTTTACCACTCTTAATTGTCTTTGAAATCCCTGTAACTCTCCCTGTGTTGTGCCGTCACCTACTCTATGTGAACAGTCTTGGCCATCAGATCTTCACCTCCTCCTCTCACCTTAGACCCAGCAGTGTCTCCTGTGTGCTCAGCTGTCTTCGAGCAGTTTGACCTGGTTTCACTGCCCGAGTTATCTGATGTGGTTACAAAATGGAAACCATCACAATACCCCTTAGACAGTATTCCTCCCAGACTACTGAAAGACGTTTTACTACAATTGGGTCATATATTTTAACTTTGATAAATATCTCTCTCACCTCAGGCTGCGTTCCAACCTTTCTTAAACACGCTGTAGTGCAGCCTCTTATCAAAAAACAGAACCTTGATCATTCTCTCCAACTGTAGACCTATTTCTAAGCTGCCCTTCCTGTCTAAAGTCCTAGAGAAAGTGGTGTTAGCGCAACTGCAGTCGCACCTTGTTCTAAACTGCATATCAGAGAAGTTTCAGTCTGGTTTTAAATCACGCCACAGTACAGAAACTGCTCTCCTAAGAGTTTTGAATGATCTTCTTTTAACGGCTGATTCTGGGAATTGTGCTGTGCTTGTGCTTTTAGATTTGTCTGCTGCTTTTGACACCATTGACCACCAAATCCTTTTATCACGCCTTGAACTGTGTGTTGGAATTAAAGGTAATGTCCTAAAATGGTTTCAATCCTATCTGTCAGAAAGGACCTTTTCTGTGCATCTTGGCCAGTATTCTTCAGCTGCAGCCCCACTAGCATATGGGGTCCCTCAAGGCTCTATCCTAGGCCCCATTTTGTTCAGTCTGTATTTACTACCTCTGGGGTCAACTTTTAAAAAGCATAACATTTCTTACCATTGCTTTGCAGATGATCTGCAGGTATACCTGCAGATGATCTGCAGGTATACCTGCCTATGAAAGCTTAGCTGTCTGAAAGACATCAATCATGGATGGAAATCAACTTCTTGACTCTCAACGAAAACAAGACAGAGATTATAATATGTGGAGAGTCTGAACTCCTGGATGGCTTTAATAGTGTCCTCGGCCCCTTAGCCTCCTACAGCCGTCCCTCTGTCAGAAATCTTGGAGTCATCTTTGAAGACTGTTTTAAATTCGACAAACAAATAAGCTCAGTTGTCAAGACAAGCTTCTTCCAGCTGCGGCTCCTGGGGAAGGTAAAGGCCTATCTTCCTAGTAAGGAACAGCTAATCCACCTATTTATAACGTCTCCTTTAGACTACTGTAACTCCCTGTATATCGGTGTTGATAAGTGTTTGATCCGTCGCCTGCAGCTGGTCCAACATGCGGCTGCACGCCTTCTTACTGGGAAGAGACGTTATGACCACATCACACCCGCAGACCTTCATTGGCTTCCTGTCAGTTACAGGATCCAGTTCAAGTACTTACTTGTTGTTTGTAAATCATTGCATGGACTGGCACCACATTACCTGTCTGAGTTGTTGCACCGCCATGCTCCAGCTAGAGCACTGCGATCAGCTCAGCAGAATATGTTGGTGGTTCCTCGGTGCAGGAAAACAACCCGAGGTGACCTTTCAGTGTTGCAGCTCCCAGACTGTGGAACAGCCTCCCAGTACATATCCAGACTGTGGAACAGCCTCCCAGTACATATCCAGACTGTGGAACAGCCTCCCAGTACATATCCAGACTGTGGAACAGCCTCCCAGTACATATCCAGACTGTGGAACAGCCTCCCAGTACATATCCAGACTGTGGAACAGCCTCCCAGTACATATCCAGACTGTGGAACAGCCTCCCAGTACATATCCAGACTGTGGAACAGCCTCCCAGTACATATCCAGACTGTGGAGCAGCCTCCCAGTACATATCCAGACTGTGGAACAGCCTCCCAGTACATATCCAGACTGTGGAACAGCCTCCCAGTACATATCCAGACTGTGGAACAGCCTCCCAGTGCATATCCAGACTGTGGAACAGCCTCCCAGTACATATCCAGACTGTGGAACAGCCTCCCAGTACATATCCAGACTGTGGAGCAGCCTCCCAGTACATATCCAGACTGTGGAGCAGCCTCCCAGTACATATCCAGACTGTGGAACAGCCTCCCAGTGCATATCCAGACTGTGGAACAGCCTCCCAGTGCATATCCAGACTGTGGAGCAGCCTCCCAGTGCATATCCAGACTGTGGAACAGCCTCCCAGTGCATATCCAGACTGTGGAACAGCCTCCCAGTGCATATCCAGACTGTGGAGCAGCCTCCCAGTACTGTAGTGTACTGCTGAATACTGTAGTACTGCAGTATAGCAGTATACTGTAGTACTGCAGTATACTGCTGAATACTGTAGTACTGTAGTACTACAGTATACTGTAGTACTGCAGTATACTGCTATACTGCAGTATACTGTAGTACTGCAGTATAGCAGTATACTGTAGTACTGCAGTATAGCAGTATACTGTAGTACTACAGTACTGACACACATTTTAAAAAGCATGCACAGAGAGCAGTGACGTGCGGTGAGGCACTGGCTCTTTCAAATATCATATTTTGACCGTAATCGAAATATTCTGTTCTTTTCAAAAGCTTTTTTAGTCGCTGTTATGATTCATTTTAAACAGAGCGTTCAACAAAAGGATACCAACATCTAAATATTGGATTGTTCTTTCTTAGTAAGATCCCATGTTCATTACAGTTGTGGTCTTACCTTGACTTGAATATAAGTCCATGCTATCCTTCTGGACAACAATCTCCATTACTTTGTAAAAGTCCTCCTTATCTTCCTGTAGTTTCAAAAGTCTAGTTTGTTGTTTGCGTAGAATAACAGTAGCAACAAGAACCTGTGGGCTGTTACGGCCCACCCTCTACTCCACGGTAGTGGCTCGTGGGGAGACCCGCAACATAAAATAATACACGCAAAAACAGGTAATTAGATACTGTGCGTTTATTCTTAAACAGCCGGTCGCTCACATGAGAAAAAGAAAGGTCTGGAGGACTGGCCAAAATAAACAAAACAAAGGAGGGAACCCGAGCCAGCCACACCACGGGCCGTAGGACCCAGAGCTTCTCCCCCTACCAGAAATCAATCTAACAGCCCTAATGGAAACAAAATGAAAAACTGGACTACCAGGTCCTCCAGGAAACACATCAGCACATCTATCAAAACACACAACAGCTCAAAAATACACAAGAAGGTCTTCTCCAAGGAGAGTGTCTCTCTGCGTCAGGATCGGGGGAGAGACCTCTTCTCCTCCAGCTTCTCCTTTTAAGTACCCAGCTGAATGGAAATAGGAACACCTGGGGAGGCGGGGCCAGGGGCGGACCAGGTGTACCTGCGCAGCAGAGAGACAGAGAAGACAACAAAGAGGGGAGCACGTAACGGGGCTCACGTGCGCCCCCTGCAGTGCGGCAGAGGTTATGGCTGCCTCTCCTGGTGCTTTTCTCATTGCCGTTGTATGATGAGACCAGCGAGCCTAAATATCATATATACGTGAAATAAGTTATTTAGAGACTATGGATGGCGAGGATAAATATAATAAAGGGATCTACAAACATTACATTGGTGACCTACAGTGAGATGGGAACAGGCATGCGCTTAGGGCCTGCTTTCCAGACAGTTTCTGTGGGGTGACGCATTCTGAGGTGAGGCAGATCTCATCTGTGCCTCACCTCACCCCACAGTAACTGGCTGGAGCGCGCTCACTAAATAAGTGCCCGCGCTAAATTAGTGCCCGTGCTCCAGCAAGTTACTGTGGGCTTACGAGAGGCAGAGCTCGTCCACTTCTCATCGCTCCCATGTAGTTGTAGCGGAGCTCGGCAAATTAGCCGATTTTGACGATAAAAAGCGATTGGAATCAGAAATCACACTTACACAAGATCAGTGGAGACATTTTATTATTATTATTATTTAGTTTTTCTTTATTTTTTTTTCCGTTACATCGGAGTATGAGAGGTGAGGCTCTGCCTCCCCTGACAGCACGTCGCTGACAGAGATGCTGTTAGCTGTTAGCCCTTAGCTGTTAGCTGTTAGCTGCTAACAAAGGCTGCTTGAAGTTACATCATGATGTGTTCAGGCTCTATCAGTAAAAACGAGTATTGGGCAGATAAATGATGACGTTATCAAACTGTTCAGATGAAGTCGTGGAGTAAAATGTATTTTTGGTGAGAAACTTGAATAAATCCAGAGGTTTGAAGGAGATGTGTAACGTGTTGTACTGTCTGTCCGGAGGTTATGTATTTATAGTGAGTGTAAATGTGTTAATGTGTGCAGGCAGGGCTCCGTGATGATGCAGGTGGACGTGGACTCGAAGGTGGGGGGTCTCTCCCTGAACCAGGACTTCCTGGTGGACTTCGGTAAAGAACCGGACGGGCCGGCGCTGGCCCACGAGCTGAGATACCCCGGGGGGGACTGCACCTCAGACATCTGGCTGTAGAGGGACGACACAGAGTAGCTTCATCAATAACACACCTCTCATCCAATCACTAACACTCACTGCCTCTCATCCAATCACTAACACTCACTGCCTCTCATCCAATCACTAACACTCACTGCCTCTCATCCAATCACTAACACTCACTGCCTCTCATCCAATCACTAACACTCACTGCCTCTCATCCAATCACTAACACTCACTGCCTCTCATCCAATCACTAACACTCACTGCCTCTCATCCAATCATTACAACTGCTCGCAGATCAGCTGACTGCTCTCAGATCAGCTGTGAAAGTACATATGAAGCGCTGTGGAGAAATAAAAGGTGAAACATAATTGGTGTGTGTTTACTTTTAGAAACCAGCAGCTGCACGATGTAAACAAACTGGTTAAACTTATAAAACTCTGTGACGGTGGAAAATAATCAGAGCAGGATTTTAAACTGAGATATAAAAAGAGTATACCGGATAAAGCTAACATGTTTTACACACTTTGAAACATCCAGACATGAAAGTGATTTCAATGTGAAAATAAATAATAAATAAAACAACTTTTTTTATTCTAAAATTAGAATACAAATTAAAAGTGCAGCAAGAATATAATTCAATAAAACTTAAAATATATAAATGACTATAAGTTTATATTAGCATCAGAGGTGATTGATTTCCTCCTGCTGTGTTCAGGTGATCCAGGAAGCAATGGGACCAATCAGCTGTCAGCATGACGCCACCATAAGAGTTGTATTAACCAGAACGTGATGTTATTATTTACCATGAAGAGGAGAGTTGGGGCAAAGCTTCAGAATAAATACACTCAAATAAAAGAGATTTCATTTCCTCTTGCTGTGTGTACTTTTTTTTTAAATTACCGATCCATCTGAAACATGTTAAAGTCTCCATGAACCAAAGAACCAGAGAACCTTAGAACCAGATAAACAACAGAACCACAGGAACCACAGAAACAACAGAATCACCGGTCAGCCTCCTGCAGTTCCTCTCCTCTCCACACGGGGGCTGCAGTTCCTCTCCTCTCCACAGGGGGGCTGCAGTTCCTCTCCTCTCCACACGGGGGCTGCAGTTCCTCTCCTCTCCACAGGGGGGCTGCAGTTCCTCTCCTCTCCACACGGGGGCTGCAGTTCCTCTCCTCTCCACAGGGGGCTGCAGTTCCTCTCCTCTCCACAGGGGGGCTGCAGTTCCTCTCCTGTCCAAAGGGGGGCTGCAGTTCCTCTCCTCTCCAAAGGGGGGCTGCAGTTCCTCTCCTGTCCACAGGGGAGCTGCAGTTCCTCTCCTGTCCACAGGGGGCGCTACACACCGGCAGCCTCCCCGCAGAAGAAGAAGCAGCAGCTGTTGTTGACAGAATCAATGGGAACTAACTGGGAATAAAAGTTCCCTTTGAACCCGCGGAACTGTCTCCAGGTAGGACCGGCTCACCTGGACCCTCACCTGCAGACCACCTGTGCGAGGGGGCTAACGTTAGCTTAGCATTCCGCTTTAAAGACAAGCAACAGTTGGCTTTAAGCTGCTAATGCTAACAGTGCGGAGTGGATGGGTTAGCTCCTCTAAGCTAACAGATGCTAACGCTTAGTTAGCTGGTTAACTAACTGCGCATTAAGTAGTTTAACTAGTTTATCAAACTCAAAGCTAAGCTAACAGTCTGTTTATCACTTTAACCCGAGAGGCTGAGGTAATGCTAACTTCCGATTAGCTTTATATTAAAGCTTTATTTACTGTGGGAGCTCTGAGCTAACATGCTAACATCAGCTGACTGCTAACAATGGATTTAAAGAGTCATTACTTTATTATCTCTCTCAGGTGATTACATCATTACTTCAGGTTAGCATCCTCTCTCAGGTTAGCATCCTCTCTCAGGTCAGAGACAGCAGCCTCTGTGTGGAGAGAAAGATACCGTCTGCTAACTGTTTACTTCAGGTTAGCATCCTCTCTCAGGTTAGCATCCTCTCTCAGGTTAGCATCCTCTCTCAGGTCAGAGACAGCAGCCTCTGTGTGGAGAGAAAGATACCGTCTGCTTGTGTGTGGAAAAGTGCTTTATCTCTGTTATCACCAGCTGTACACAAACAACAACAACAACAACAACATGAGGCAATAAGAGAGAAAAGCAGAAATATAACTACTATGTCTGATTCATATTCTGCTCTGAGACTGTGATATTAGGATATATAAATATACTATAGACAAGTATTTACACCAAATGGAAGTATACAAAATCTCACACTCACACACAGTCACACTCACACACAGTCACACTCTCACACAGTCACACTCACACACAGTCACACTCTCACACATCTCACACAGTCACACTCACACACAGTCACACTCTCACACAGTCACACTCACACACAGTCACACTCTCACACACAGTCACACTCTCACACACAGTCACACTCACACACAGTCACACTCTCACACACAGTCACACTCTCACACAGTCACACTCACACACAGTCACACTCTCACACAGTCACACTCTCACACAGTCACACTCACACACAGTCACACTCTCACACAGTCACACTCTCACACAGTCACACTCTCACACACAGTCACACTCTCACACACAGTCACACTCTCACACAGTCACACTCACACACACAGTCACACTCACACAGTCACACTCTCACACAGTCACACCTCCACACAGTCACACTCACACAGTCACACTCTCACACACAGTCACACTCACACAGTCACACTCCACCATCAGTCACACCTCACAACAGACTCACACCAGTCACACTCACACTGTCACACAGTCACACTCACACACAGTCACACTCTCACACAGTCACACTCACACACAGTCACACTCTCACACAGTCACACTCTCACACAGTCACACTCTCACACAGTCACACTCTCACACAGTCACACTCACACAGTCACACTCTCACACAGTCACACTCTCACACAGTCACACTCACACACAGTCACACTCTCACACAGTCACACTCACACACAGTCACACTCTCACACAGTCACACTCACACACAGTCACACTCACACAGTCACACTCACACACTCTTGTTCCTGCTGCTCTCTGTGTGTTTCAGGTCAGACAGAATAACACATCTTTATTCATTATTTTATAAACGTGCATTGACTTTTAAATTCAAAATAACTGTGTGTGTGTGTTCCAGTGGAGGAGCAGTCCTGATGGAGGACTCGGAGCCGGAGCCCCCCCCCCTCAGCGACCCCCCCCCTGGGTGTGATGCTGATCGATGCTGAAGTCGCACAGAGGGCGTGTCGAGAAGTGCTGCAGCAGCTGAAGCTGAACCAGGGGGAGGAGCCTCAACGAATGAAACTGGACCAGGGGGAGGGGCCTCAGCGGGGGGAGGAGCCTCAGCAGGTAGAGGAGCCTCAACAAATGAAGCGGGACCAGGGGGAGGAGCCTCAATCGATTAAACTGACCCAGGGGGAGGATCCTCAACTAATGAAGCTGGACCAGGGGGAAGAGCCTCAATCGATTAAACTGACCCAGGGAGAGGAGCCTCAATCAATTAAACTGACCCAGGGGGAGGAGCCTCAATCGATGATACTGACCCAGGGGGAGGAGCCTCAATCGATGAAACTGACCCAGGGGGAGGAGCCTCAATCGATGATACTGACCCAGGGGGAAGAGCCTCAGCAGATTAATCTGAACCAGGGGGAGGGGCCTCGGTGGGGGGAGGAGCCTCAACATATGAAGCTAAACCAGGGGGAGGAGCCTCAGTGGGGGGAGGAGCCTCAACATATTAAGCTGAACCAGGGGGAGGAGCCTCAATCAATGAAACTGACCCAGGGGGAGGAGCCTCAGCAGATTAATGTGAACCAGGGGGAGGGGCCTCAGTGGGGGGAGGAGCCTCAACATATGAAGCTGAACCAGGGGGAGGAGCCTCAGTGGGGGGAGGAGCCTCAACATATGAAGCTGAACCAGAGGGAGGAGCCTCAGTGGGGGGAGGAGCCTCAATCGATGAAACTGACCCAGGGGGAGGAGCCTCAATCGATGAAACTGACCCAGGGGGAGGAGCCTCAATCGATGAAACTGACCCAGGGGGAGGAGCCTCAACTAATGAAGCTGAACCAGGGGGAGGAGCCTCAACTAATGAAGCTGAACCAGGGGGAGGAGCCTCAGCAACGCCCCGCCCCCCCCACGCTGCAGGTGGATGACACAGAGGCCCCGCCCCCTGCCCCTGAGGCCCCGCCCCCTGCCTCTATCCCTTCCCCTCCTGAGGCCCCGCCCCATGTCTCTGCCCCGCCCCCTCCTGAGGCCCCGCCCCCCGGCTCGGTGAAGAGTCTCCGCCTCCGGCAGCGTTCCAACCCGTCCAAACAGTCGTGGCTGCTCCGCCTGTTCGAGTCCAAGCTGTTTGACGTCTCCATGGCGATCTCCTACCTGCACAGCTCCAAGGAGCCGGGGGTGCAGGCCTACATCGGGAACCGGCTGTTCAGCTTCAGCCACGACCAGGTGGACTTCTACCTGCCGCAGCTGCTCACCATGTACATCCACATGGACGAGGACGTGGGCGACGCCATCAAGCCCTACGTGGTGAGTGAGGGCCCTGAACGCAGCATTCACTCACCTGTTAAGATAAGAAGTACTTTATAGTCAACGTTAACATCTCTTCAAGCCCTACGTGGTGAGGGGCCCTGAACGCAGCATTTACACACCTGTTAGCATCCTCTGTTTCTAAATCCAGCATCTCTGTGTGGTGTGTTCAGGTGCAGTATACAATACGATATTACTTTATTTGTCAGTTTTGATTTGAAAGCTGCTGACAAACCTTTGTACCAGGTCGTGTTGCAGTACTGCAGAATGGACATGATCACACAAGCCTGTGACCTAAGATTTTCAACGACATAATTACTCTGTAGCTATGTTAGTTTGACAATAAAGAACCTTGAACCTTGAGATGTGAAGAACAACAGAAGAATTTCTCCGCTCGCCCCAAAAGACCTAAGACGGCGGAGAAAATAAATTCTTAGTTTTGTCCTTTTGCACAGATGTTCAATGTGCTCCTTCCATGACAGCAGATGTTCAATGTGCTCCTTCCATGACAGCAGATGTTCAATGTGCTCCTTCCATGACAGCAGATGTTCAATGTGCTCCTTCCATGACAGCAGACGGTCAATGTGCTCCTTCCATGACAGCAGACGGTCATCATTACACCCAAGTATTTGTATGAAACTGCTTGATTTCATCTGTATGGCAATGGGGACTTTATGGGAGTCCGATGGTGAGCCAAAAATGATTTCCTCAGTTTTCTTGGTGTTGATCTCAAGAGCATATCAGTCCACTCGACCACCTGAGTTACAGCCTGTTGGTGCAGCTCAGGGTCGTCTGTGTTACTGAGCAGAGATATTATTGCAGTATCATCAGAGTACTTAATGATGACTTGATTTGGTGTGTTGGTACGACATCAGTGTAGAGAGTAAAGAGCACAGCTGAACTCACGCAGCCCTGGGGGGCACCTACGTTGGTTGTGATGGCAGATGCCAGGGTTTTGTTAACCTTCACAAGTTGCTCTCTACTAGTGAGGAAAGCAGCATACCAGCACATCAGGTATGGATTTACTTCCATTTTGGCCATTTTGACACCAAGATGTCTGCTTGTATTGTGTTGAATGCTGATGAGAAGTCTAGGAAGAGGGCTGTTGCATAGGTGTTACGTTTATCTAAATGTTTAGTGATGATGTGAACCAAAGTGGCCACACTCAGGAGTGGTGTGTTCAGGTACACCACTGCAGACAGAGCATCTGGTTCAGTCTTCACTGTGTAACCCCTCCCCCTCTCTGTGGTGTGTTCAGGTACACCGCTGCAGACAGAGCATCTGGTTCAGTCTTCAGTGTGTAACCCCTCCCCCTCTGTGGTGTGTTCAGGTGCACTGTGTAACCCCTCCCCCTCTCTGTGGTGTGTTCAGGTACACCGCTGCAGACAGAGCATCTGGTTCAGTCTTCAGTGTGCCTGGCTGTTGGGAGCGTATTCTTCAGATATGCACATCTCCACTCAGAGACACTCCAGAGGCACCAAGCTGAGGAAGATCATCCTGTCTGACGAGCTGAAGCCAGCAGGGACCCGGGGGCGCAGAGACCCCCTGACGCTGACCCCCTTCTGCCCCCTGACCCCCCCCCCAGGCCCCCTGACCCCCCCTGAACACAGCCTCTCGCCCTCCAAACGGACGCACCAACGCTCCAAGTCCGACGCCACAGTGAGCATCAGCCTGAGCAGCAACCTGAAGAGGACGAGCAGCAACCCCCGGGTGGAGAGCCAGGATGAGGTGAGGGGGGTGGGGGTGTGTTCAAAGACTCTAAGGTTTTATCATCTGCTCAGCAGCTACAGTGGAGAGATGGCAATGACATTCTTCTGACCTGAGCTCATCCAACAATGCATGTATAATAAAATACAAAATAGTGCATTAAGTCTATGTACATGCAAATAGTGTGTGTGTGTGTGTGTGTGTGTGTGTGTGTGTGTGTGTGTGTGTGTGTGTGTGTGTGTGTGTGTGTGTGTGTGTGTGTGTGTGTGTGTGTGTGTGTGTGTGTGTGTGTGTGTGTGTGTGTGTGTGTGTGTGTGTGTGTGTGTGTGTGTGGTGTGTGTGTGTGTGTGTGTGTGTGTGTGTGTGTGTGTGTGTGTGTGTGTGTGTGTGTGTGTGTGTGTGTGTGTGTGTGTGTGTGTGTGTGTGTGTGTGTGTGTGTGTGTGTGTGTGTGTGTGTGTGTGTGTGATGCTGCAGAGGGACATCACACACTACAAACACAGTGTGTGAAGAGCCGTGACCTCTGACCTCTGCCCTCAGGACAGCAGCTCCAGCTCCGAAAGTCTGGAGTTTGTCAAGCGGCCCGTAAGTCCTCCTCAGGGTGCATTGTGGGTAACGAGGTGCTGGAGGCTCTGGGTTCTGGTTCAGGGTGTTTCTCTGGACCTTGATTCTGTTTCTGTCTCATCCAATCAGATGTGTGGTGTGTGTTGGGGAGAACCAATCAGGAGGCTGCTCCGGGGCCATGTGACCTCTCACTGATTCTTTATTATCATTGAACGTTAATCTAATTCCTTCCTTCATGTCTGTCTTCAGCTGCTCTCTGTGCACACACAGAATATCAGTTTACACTAGTTATCATTTCAATATAATATACCTTCCCAATAACTCTTATTTCAAGTCCTAACCCATCATGTATTGATCTAACCAGATACTATTCAGTGATTTGACCAGCAGCTGATCACACGGGGGGTTCCACAGGGATCAGCATTAGGACCTCCACTATTTATAATAAATACTCTTAAACCTGTAGCTGGTTGGGATCTCCTTCTGTACTCTGATGAGCCTAACCTGTAGCTGGTTGGGATCTCCTTCTGTACTCTGATGAGCCTAACCTGCAGCTGGTTGGGATCTCCTTCTGTACTCTGATGAGCCTAACCTGTAGCTGGTTGGGATCTCCTTCTGTACTCTGATGAGCCTAACTCTAACCTGCAGCTGGTTGGGATCTCCTTCTGTACTCTGATGAGCCTAACTCTAACCTGCAGCTGGTTGGGATCTCCTTCTGTACTCTGATGAGCCTAACCTGTAGCTGGTTGGGATCTCCTTCTGTACTCTGATGAGCCTAACCTGTAGCTGGTTGGGATCTCCTTCTGTACTCTGATGAGCCTAACCTGTAGCTGGTTGGGATCTCCTTCTGTACTCTGATGAGCCTAACTCTAACCTGCAGCTGGTTGGGATCTCCTTCTGTACTCTGATGAGCCTAACCTGTAGCTGGTTGGGATCTCCTTCTGTACTCTGATGAGCCTAACTCTAACCTGCAGCTGGTTGGGATCTCCTTCTGTACTCTGATGAGCCTAACCTGTAGCTGGTTGGGATCTCCTTCTGTACTCTGATGAGCCTAACCTGTAGCTGGTTGGGATCTCCTTCTGTACTCTGATGAGCCTAACTCTAACCTTATACTTCAATACAAACAATGAAGAAAGGCAGAAACATGTCTTTCCTTTTAGTTTGAAAAGATAGATGTAATCAGTTTATGTTCATGAAAGGAAGCAGCCGACTGGTCCCTCCATAAACCACCTCAGGCTTTCCTAAAGACCCCCACCATTAAACCATACACCCCCAGTCCGTTAACCAAATCTCTTTTCCCCCCCGTGGAATAACAGTCCTTCACATACGTCTGTTACACACATACAAGACTAAAGAACACAATTGAACAGAGTAAATCATATCATATGATCATAAATGATGTGATGATCATTTGACACAACATATCATCATGGCCATATTCAACTCTGTTATCACTCCTGATATTCAGCAGCCCTAACCTTAGGACGTTCTCCCAGAATGCAACGGGTCCTGACCCCTTCACCTCACCTGTCCCCCCCCAGCCGGTGCGCCTGGCCCCCCAGAGGGAGTTCATTAAGTCCCTGATGGGCATCGGGAAGCGGCTGGCGACCCTCCCCACCAAGGAGCAGAAGACCCAGCGCCTGGTCTCAGAGCTCTCGCTGCTGAACCACAAGCTGCCCGCCAGAGTCTGGCTGCCCACCGCCGCCTTCGACCACCACGTGGTGAGGGTCCCACACACACAGGCCGTGGTGCTCAACTCCAAGGACAAGGTAACACCTGTGGACACACCTGAGACACCTGAGACTGTTAGCTTAGCACAAACACAAGGTCACACCTGAGACACACCTGAGACACCTGAAACTGTTAGCTTAGCACAAACACAAGGTCACACCTGGGGACACACCTGAGACACCTGAAACTGTTAGCTTAGCACAAACACAAGGTCACACCTGAGACACACCTGAGACACCTGAGACTGTTAGCTTAGCACAAACACAAGGTCACACCTGGGGACACACCTGGGGACACCTGAGAACACATGACACACTACCCTGAGAACACATGACACACATCCGAGTACACCTGAGAATTGACACTGTTAGCTTAGCACAAACACAGGGTAACACCTGACAGTAGTAGTTGTAGTCTGAGTGTTGTCTGACTCCAGGTGAGTCATGTGACCATGTTGACCTCTGATCCCAGGCTCCCTACCTGATCTACGTGGAGGTTCTGGAGTGTGAGAACTTCGAGACATCCAGCGTTCCGGTGCGGATCCCGGAGAACCGGATCCGCAGCACGCGCTCCGTGGAGAACCTCCCGGACTGCGGCATGACGGCGGAGCAGCGAGCCGGAAGCTTCTCCACCGTGCCCAACTATGACAACGACGACGAGGCCTGGAGCGTGGACGATATCGGAGAGCTGCAGGTGGAGGTGAGAGGGGGAGGGGCTACATGATGAATAACCAATCAGAGGGAGGGGAGCATGGGGAGGGGCTACATGCTACACGGAGTGTTTCCTGACGGACACACGCGGAGTGTTTCCTGACGGACACACGCGGAGTGTTTCCTGACGGACACACGCGGAGTGTTTCCTGACGGACACACGCGGAGTGTTTCCTGACGGACACACGCGGAGTGTTTCCTGACGGACACACGCGGAGTGTTTCCTGACGGACACACGCGGAGTGTTACCTGAGGGACACACGCGGAGTGTTTCCTGACGGACACACGCGGAGTGTTACCTGACGGACACACGCGGAGTGTTTCCTGACGGACACACGCGGAGTGTTACCTGAGGGACACACGCGGAGTGTTACCTGACGGACACACGCGGAGTGTTTCCTGACGGACACACGCGGAGTGTTACCTGAGGGACACATGCGGAGTGTTTCCTGACGGACACACGCGGAGTGTTACCTGAGGGACACACGCGGAGTGTTTCCTGACGAACACGTACACTTGTTAGTCGGTCAGGTATCAGCAGGTAAAGTCAGGTGATGCAGACTCTCTGCTGGAGGGCTTGATAAGCCACTCCCCCTCCACACTGGTTGGTTTGGAACAGACCTTAAAGGGGACCTATCATGCAAAATGCACTTTTGTACGTCTTTTCTACATGAATATGTGTCCCCGGTGTTCCAGGGAACTCACCAAGTGTCAGAAAACACAACCCTCTCTATTTTCCTCCATACCAAATCTCTAAAAAAGGGGCTGCAACGGATCTGATAAAAACTGATCCAGATTTGAACACTGTCCTGACGTCAGGACGGTGGCGCTACGGCTATTGGGCCAACTCCACCAATCAGGAGGAGACAGCCACGGCCATTGCCGTTCGAAAGCGCTGGAGACGCTGTAGTACATATGCCAGGCCTGTAAGTGGCGCTGTAGTCTGCCACAAAAGCAGCGAAGAAGACTTCCCGCCCATAGTTACCATGGTTACCCTTCTGTTTAGGGATGTCCCGATCACCTTTTTTTGCTCCCGATCCGATTCCGATCATTTGATTTTGACAATCTGCCGATACCGATTTTTCCCGATCCGATCTTTATGCAATGCATTAAGAGAAAAAAAAGGAGAAAAGCATTCAAGTTGTCCCTTAAACCCCACGTTCTCCACCACAGATAACGGCTGGTCATCCACACTGAAAGTGTCGGTTGTTTCAGTGCCGTTACCCGAGTGGCCGCTGTGTACTCCTCGTGTTGTTGTTGGTGTTTGTGTTAGATTGGTCGTGTTGAACGTAGCTCTGTTCTTTCCACCACGCGGAACCTCCGCCTTGCAAACATTGCATCTGGCTGTTACACTGCCTTCACTTTCAATTTTATAATACTTCCAAATTCCTGACATTTTCTCTGTCCCGACTCCCGAGTCACCAGCTGAACGTAGCCTCTTGTTAGCTTACTGCTACTATTAGACACTGCGCCCACTCTGTTGCCAGATTTGAGAGAAATAAGCAACCAGGTCTATGAAAACAAGCCCAAAAGAAGCAACACATACATGATGTTGTGTAATTTTAAACCAAAACTAAGGCCTCAGGATGACTTTAAGACGTGAACATGGTCATTTTTGTTTTGTAACATTAAATAAAATAATAAAAATATTTTATAAAAAAAAAAAAAAAAAAAAAAATCCCGATCCCCGATTTTTTTTCTCCCGATTCCGATCTTTTGAAAATCACGTGATCGGCTCCGATCCCCGATTACGTGATCGGATCGGGACATCTCTACTTCTGTTTATTCTCCGCTGTGGCTTTCTTTCTCCCTCCCCGAGGCAAGCGTTTGCTCCCGCTGCTTTAATTCAATGCAATCCCTCCCCGTCGAGGCAAGCACTGTAACTCTCTCCGGTTAGTCCACCAGCAGATGACAAACACCCACCTCTCCGCCTCTTCCAAGGAACCAGGGGACCGTGCGGCAGAGTTTCAGTTTCAGTTTCTTTCGCCGGTCAAGATGGTCCGTTAAAGTTTAAA